ACTAAATCTGCCATAGTGGAGGGGAAAGGGATGCAGTATTGTTGAATTGGATGCAACTATAATTGGGCTACCTTAACAGTATTTCCGATTCCAAGCATTCAAACATCCTGAGTCAGGCCCTGCAAAATCACTAGACTGGCTTAAGGATAATAAATTTGGGATTTTTCTTAGGAGGGGTCATGTTTTTCAAGCTTTTCTCTCCAGCCAAGAGGGTAGAAACTTTATATTTTTAAATGATGCTGAGAGTTTTGTGTAATCAGTTGACTCCAGAAGCTGGGGCTTAAATTAAAAACAGCAATTATCGTGAGAGCTAGCCATGCTGTATCTGAGGCCCAATCCTGCAATTGTCAGCACTTGGGAAGGCTTTTGCTTGGAGCCCCATTGGTGTGAATTGCAGGAGTAGAGTAAAAAGTTACCATAAAAGAAAAGAAAAAAAACCCACCCAACCTTACAGTTCAGACATTTTCCAAAAACGATTAGCATTGTAAAAGTACAGGCAGTGAGCACAGCGATACCTCAAAAACATCTCGATCCAGAACAGAAATATTGATAAGACTTAACTCTGCTGAACTGGCAGTGATGAAAAATCGTCCCAAGGTACATATGTGCAGCCAATGGTATATCCCGTGGGCGATGCTTGTGTCCCCAAGGACCCACACTGGCCTTTGAAAACCACAGTCTCTGATGTTCAAGCGTGTCTACTGATTTTTTTGGGTATCCAACTTGAGCCCCATTGTCTGACATCCTGAGCACCCATTGCTCCCAGCGTGGACCTGCAATCCCCTTTGTAAACACTTCCCCACAATGCTGCCGAAATGGGACCTATATGGTTTTTTCAAGGTGCATTCTGTTAGCACCTCTCCATAGGAGTGCATGGCAACTGACAAACACAAATTAAAACCTCTGTAATCTGAGGCATTTAGACGACTACAGAATCTGGGTTAGGGTTGCCAATCTGGCGGTAATTAAAAACCAGATACTCCAGCAGGAGTCCCGGAACCTCCCACACCCCTCCTCTTCCCCATAAGGCCCTGCCCCCATCCACTCCTCTTTGGCCCTCCCACCACCCATCCGAGTCAGGAGGGACTCACCTGCTTTGCCGGGGCAGCTGCTCGATGCAGGTAGGAGGCAGCCCCTGCTGAGTAGTGGCTGGTGCTGGTAATGATCCAGCACCTCCCCGCCTGCCCCACTCACCGTAACCGGACACTGTCAGGTCCCCTTTTTGACCGGATGTTCTACTACACCCTACTACAAATACCCCATTATTATAAACAGCCGAATCTGTATCATGGCAAGATCCAGAGGCCCCATCTGAGATCAGGGCCCCATTGTGCTAGGTGCTGTACAAACAAATAGTAAGAGACGGACCCTGCCCCAAATATCTTAACAGTCTGAATAGACAAGGCAGACAAAGCGAGGATTATTGTCCTCCCTCTATAGACGGAGGAACTGAGGTGCAATGAGGTCAAGTGATTTGCCCAACGTAACACACACAGGCTGTGGCAGAGCCAGGAAATGAATTTCAATCCTCTGAGTAGAGCTGAGCAAATCCTAGATTTCTCAGTATGGGGGTCAAACTAGGGTGGGTGGGAGAATATCCAGTTTGATTTGAACCAAGTCCAATTTTTAGAGGGTTTTTGTTGAATTGAAAAACTTGAGGAAAAAAATTAATTTCAGATCAACCAGAATGTTTCATTCATCTCAAAATGAGGTTGGTTTTTTAAAAAGTTTTTGTTTGGTTAATTTTGGGTGTTTTATACTGCGTGTGTGAGAGAGAGAGAGAGAGAGAGAGAGAAAATTCCTGGTTTAAAAAAAATGAAAAGTTGAAATGAGAAAGTCAGAATGAAACATTTTGAAATGGTCAAAACAAAAAATTTCGACTTTTTCAAAAAACTTCCCGGGATTTTTTTGGCCGAAACTATTTGTCACATTCAACCTGAATTCCCAAAATTTTTTGCCCCCTCTGCCCCCAAAACGCATTTTGTAGCCAAAATTCTATTTGCCAAAATATTCCCCTCCCCCAAACTCTATTCCTGAGTCCGGACCTAGTGCCTTCACCACAAGAATGTCCCGGATGGGGCAGGGGAGGGAGGAATTTGGGTTGTGACAATGGGGGAGAAGAAAGGTTTTGGGGTGCCCCTTTTGTTTAAATGTTTGGCTCTTGGTTGTGCATGCTAATTTGGTGGTGTAACCATTCTGACTTGCGAGCGAAACCAAAGCCTATTTATAGCGCCCTCGTCACAAGCATTTGCTTCCATGGGGTTTGATCTGGTTTACTGGTTTTAACTAAAGATCGGAAACCATAGTTGTGATCTACAAATGTCTCTAATTTACAGTCTGTAAACATTACTAAAGCACATGGCTTGTGATGCTAAACAGACTCTTGGCAGGATATTTTCACAAGGTAATCATGGAAATTAGAGATGGAAAAGACCTATTAGGTCATCCAGTCTGTTCCCCTGCCCGGCCTAGAATTGAACTGTTTCTTATAGCTCATTCTCCAGGGCTTCGTCCAGGCTGGTTATTTAAATTATGCAAGCAGTGGTGCCTCCAACACTTCCCTTGGGAAACTAATAGATTCAGTCTAATAGAGTTTGCTCTCAGGAAATGTCTCCTGACATTCTGCTTATGTTTCCCTTTCATCCCAGTATTTCTAGCTTGGCTTTCTTGGAGAGAACATAAACAAATCAGGGCAAGTATAAACTTCATGTACTGACATAGGTTTGTCTGGATTCAAATCCTGGTTAAAAGTACAGCAGTCAAAACAGTATGGCTGTGGAAATATGTATATGAATATGATGTTCACATATGAAAATAACTCTCTTCTGGGGTGAAGGGAGAACTCCATATATTGGGGAGGGGGGGAGAATAGCTTAGTGGTTTGAGCATTGGCCTGCTAAAGCCAGGGTTGTGAGTTCAATCCTTGAAGGGGCCATTTAAGGATCTGGGGCAAAAATCTGTCTGGGGATTGGTCCTGCTTTGAGCAGCAGGTTGGACTAGATGACCTCCTGAGGTCCCTTCCAACCCTGATATTCTATGATTCTAACTGCTATTGTTACAATTAACACTTGAGGGCTAGGTCCCTTGAGCTGAGCAAAACTCAGGCTTTCTGTTCCACGTGGGATGGTCAACATTTCAAAATTTATTTTCATTCCAAATCCGAATGAAAACAAAATATCCCATGAAATAAAATTTTATTATTTCAGGCTAATTGAAACATTTTGGTCCTATTTTGACTTTTTAAATTATAATCTTATATTTATAATTTGTAATATAATATCAAATAAATTTCAAAACAAAAAGTCACCTTAAAAGGAAAACTCGAACTGTTCCACCCCAATGGATTATTTTGACCTTATTGAAATGTTTTCTTTCCAAATGAAATTTTGTCTACGCTGACGCATTATTTTGGAAAGTTTTGATTTCAGCAAAGTGGCATTTGCTGATGGAAAAGTGTTTTACTGGAAAATTTCAGATCATCTCTAATTTACCCTCACCCACCTTGTCTCTCTAAATGCTTATTACCTCTTTTATTGGACCATCTGGTGAAAGAGACAAGTTTTCAAGCTACACAGAGCTCTTCTTCAGGCCTGCTCTTAGGAAAGTTTTACTTAATTTGATTTGTGTGTTTAACATTCACAGCATTAGGGTGTACATTTGTTTACAAGTGAAAGAAATTACAGGGCGGGGGGATATTGTTCTCTATTTTGTTTTAATCCATTTACTTTGTGCATTTGGCAGTAACTTCATTTTAAAATTCAATATTATGGTTGTAAAACCAAACCAGAGGGATACAGGCAGAGGTAGGACTTGATACTGCTTTAAACTTTTTAAAAATATTGGCCATCTTTTAAAGTGACACTGTCCCTTTAAGTACAGAAGCATATGTTAAGGACAGCCCTGCTGTGTGAAACGAGCACTGGTGAAAAGTGCTGGATGAACAACCTGGAGACGGAAGCTGAGTATTTATCCACAGACACAGAACAATTCATGCCGGCTTCCCCTGCCGTCCCCCAACAATGTGACCCACACAGAGGGGTACTTTGCTGTACAAGTTTTGCTGCCTGTCCAAAAGCGTTGCCACCTCTCATGTATAACACGATGCTACTGTGCACCATATTACCACCTCTGACCCTTTTGCAATTAGCGATCACACCCCAAAACGTGTGTCCGAAAACACCTGCCTGTTTTCAGATTGCCTGTTTTCAAATCCCACCAGTGCATCTCAGCGGGGCCTACAGGATGTGCTGGAAATTGATTGCACTAAAGCAAAATGTCTCTGCTCTTGCATTCTTTGGTTCAATATCATTGTTTCCATCTGGCATCTCAGCAGCAGGTTCTTTTTTTGTGCAACTCCAGGCATTGTAATAGATTCATTTGATATGATTAAGCAATGAGCTAAGGTGCATCTGTAGTGGGTGTTTATAGGCATATTTGGTTTTGAACAGGATGCTATTCATTGGCATCTCCACGACCAGCTTGGAACTGGTCCTCCCAAAATGCGCTTGGTGCTATAGTGACCACTGATAAACTTAAGATTGAGATGACACATTCTTGGCTGCAGTCTCGTTGGCCTGTGCTTGCTCCTGCTAATGTTGGCGTGTGTACAAGTCTCCCTGGCCCAGAGCTGGCTGGAAAGGTTTCTCTGTTGCCTTAGCAGCCCAGAGGCAAGTTAAATTTGGCAGTGAATGTTGATCTCTAAGAATCTTCTCTAAAGTGCTGAGAGAACCTTCTCTTGTCCTTTTGATTTGAAGGTGAACTATGCAGAGTAGACTCTAGTTTACACAGCATTTTGCATACTGAATGTACCCAAAAACATGCTTTGAAATGAGCTAATGTGCTTGAAGTGAACTGGGAACCTTACCTCTCCTTCCTGAAGTACAGCAAGGGTAATGAAGGTATAGGCTCAATTCTGGGACGCTTCTGGACTAAATCTCTGCAAGGTGCACTAGCCCTATGCTCCTTTGCCACAGCAGTCGCCAGGGAACGTTTCCTCCGGCATGGAATGGGGCATGCACCTTGCTAGCCAAGCGCACGCCTCTGGAAAGAAAAGCACTTGCAAGTGGGAGGCCTGTGTTAATGGTGGTGGTGCAGCTGCCCGTGGTCAGCCTGGGGAGAAATGGATGCTGTCTTGCACTGACGCAGAGAAACCCAGTGTGGTGGATTGGCTGAACAGCCATCGCTCTGCAGAGGGCAGCATGGTGACCCTCCTGCGGTACGGGGTGCTTGGGCACTAGCAAAGGGATGTGGAAGGAGGCTGTTGCAAGGTGAGGGAGCCGCCTGCTGGCAGGAAACGCACGGAAGCTGCTGCCTTGACATAGAAGAACAAGCAGTGGTGACCCCAACAAGCCGTGCTGCAGAACCGAGCCCTGGCTGGGGAACCTCTGGAGAGGACTGGACTGAGAGGAGACCCCTCAGTACTAGGGTTGAGGAACTCCTGGCCCTTTCAGCTGTGCCGAAGGGCCAAGCTAGGGGCTACTCTCTTATTGTTCAGTTAAATCTGTCGCAGCTAATGAGTCTAGAGTGTGCGCGGCCTCTTCTAATGCCCCCTTCTCGAGTGCTCTTTCATCTGCAGGTCTCCAAGCTCATCGGTGAGTGAGTGTGATGAGCCTCATTTTCCAGGTGGGGAAACTGAGCCACCCTGAGAACCAGACTATCTGGTGGTAAAATTCCCCTTCTGCTCCTTGCAGAAGCAGGGTAAGTCTCTAAAACAGATGCTTCAGTTCATAGGAAACCAAAATAGATGGGAAAAATCCTCCTTCAGCATGGGATCAATGTAAGGAAAGGTTTCCCACCTGCTCTTATGCTAATTGCATGGGCTGTGTGTGCACCCCTCCCTTTTCCCTCCCGGTGTTTGGCCCCGGTGGCTGGAACAGCCTGCTTCTTACTTAGAGATGGGTGTTGCCTTCTTTATTTAAGGAGTCGGGGTTTGTGCTTTTGGTGCTGGAAGTCCTGGGCTCCCTCCCCACTAATGGTCATGCTGGCTGTATGTGAATAGGACCCTGGTTCATTCCATGTATCTGTCATAGAAACTGCCAGGACGGCTCAGGCCTGTGGTCCATCCAATCCAGTATCCTGTCTCCTATAGTGGCTGGCACTCGATTTGGGCACTTTTTTTCTCGGCGAATAGACTATTTGCCGAAAAATGCATTTTTCAGTCGAACGAAAATATTTGTGAATTCGGGTCAAATTTGGCAAATAGTTTCAGCTGAATAAAACTGGAGAAAAACACCGAGTCAAAATGTTTCATTTTGACATTTTCAGGGCGATACATTTAGTCTTTTCATTTCAAAAAGATGTTTCATTTAGAATTGTAGCTCGTTTTACAAACAAAAACCGCAACCTACAAAACCCTGAAAATGAAAAGTTCTGTTTTGGGTCAAATTAAAAGTTTTGTTTGGCCCAAATCAGAAAATTTTTGGTTTTCCGTTTCACAGAATAGAAACGAATAGTTGTAGTTTCAGGTTGACCTGAAACCTAATTGTTTGGATTTTTCTGATGTCGCCACCAAACTGAAAAACCAGTTACTCATCCCAGCTCTAGTGAGCATGCACTGCTTCAGAGGAAGAGGCAAGAAACTCTGCAGGAGGCAGATGTGGGATAACCTGCCTCCCACGAGGGTCTCATCTGATCACTAATTAGCATAAGCCCTGAATCAGGAATCTCAGTATCCCTTCCAGAGGTAACGGGTCTCTTTCAAACTTCCAGCAGGTGCTGAACTACAATGGAAGAGAAATATTTTGAAAACTGTTCTGAGTCCCTTAATGTCCTTGTAACTACAAAATAGCAAAGGTGAGCGGGAAGTAGCGTTTCCCTGGGTTAATCTCAGGAGCAGAAGTTACCCAGTTCGGCTGGATTGAACACATCACGAAGGCTGCTTACGTGAGCTTGCCTTGCCGCAATCTCCTCTGCAGAGCCAGTGCATCGCAATAGAGATGTCAGTGCCGAGAGCGGTTGCTTGTTTAAGCCACTTGAGAGGATCGTGTTTGTTCTCTCTTGTAGCACAAGTCTCTTCTCTGCCTGCTCAAGTGGGTTGCTGAGGCCTGCTGGCTTATCCTGACAGAGCAGACATTAGCCAGATGAGGCTCGGCTTAAATAAATAAATGAAAACCTGCTGCTCGTATGGAAAAGTGCTGCAGTGTGAAGTTAATGCAGAAGGGCAGCATCTGCACCCCGGGGAAGTGATACACTAGTTTGGATCCCCCGGGCCACCTCTTAATGAAAGCTGGTGTCTCTGGGAGAGAGATGTCATTTATTTAAACATCAGTTCAGCTAGCGAATGGTGGGGAGGCAGTAAATGTGTCTGATGGCCCACGGTATTTCTACACTGCCCGTCGCCATGGTTTCTAAGTGCTGATCTCACCCAAAAACAAAGATGTATCTTGGGTACCAAAATTACTTACCTTTAGTTTCTTGCCTTCAGGTTAATGGGTATTTTTTTTATTATTTTCTCCCTCATTTCACTCTCTGCATCCTTACCTGCTCCTTTGAGGGACCCCTGCTATATGCACTTTGAAAGCACAGATGGTGTCACGACGATTGGGTGCTGGTGCAACTGTTATTTCTGCAGACAAGTTGTACTCTTGCATGACCACTTGGTGTACTGGCCCTCCCAGATCAGGATGGGACCGTGTGGTATGTTCTGCTCTTCCACACTCTGGAATGTAGCCGTGCTCCCTTTTTGGTCTGAATCTAGTTTAAAAGGGATCTTGTTAATTTCATGCTTAATTTTTTTTTTTTTTTTTTTGGTCAATTGCTGTTTTTAAGGCCAGTGAAAGGAGTGCAAAGAACGGTTCCCTCTCTGTGTACGCAGAGCTGCTACAATACTGGTATGACGACCACACTCTCCTGCTGTGATGCTGAGCCCCAACCCTGGAGGGGGACGTCTCTAGGGTCCCTGTTCAGGAAAGCATTTAAGCACGTGCTTAGCTTTAACTATGTGCTTAAATGCTTTCCAGGATAGGGGCCTGTGCTTATTTTGGGATTTGGGCATTTGCTTAAAGTTAAGCACAGACGCCTATTCAGAAAAGCACGTAAATATGTGGTTAAAGTTAAGCTTTCCTGAATTGGGGCCTAAGTGTGGGAAGATAGTTCATCCTGTAGAGTACGTCCGGTCCACAGCCCCGCTTCTGAAACTGCCAATGAGGAGATCGGTTAGTGGTGGTGGAGTGTTGCGGACTCCGGCCCATTGGGAACTGCACTGACATCCACCCCCCTCACTTTATCTATTCACATTGAGAGCTGGGCAAAAGCCACAAGTCTCCCCTGCAGATCCCTAATCCTCCCATTGGGCTCTGCTCCCTAGAAAAGCCCTTTGAGGAGCCTGACGGCAGAACTGTTACATTACGGCGTGTGAACTGGATCAAAACAGCTTTCTGCTCAATTGGCTTGTTATTCGCCAAAGCCGCAGATCTGTGCCTCGTGTATATATCCTGACAAGCTGCAGCATGCCCTAGGGTGTTCGTGTACCCTGGAATAAATCTCACACCTCATCTACAGTGGGAATTGGAGTGAAAGCAGAGGCTGGATGTCTGCCAAGCGATTGCAGACGCTAGTGCAGATGGTACTGGCAGGGCTCCCGCTGTCAAGTAATCAAGTCAGATTGTCCACGCCCTCCCACCTATTGCATTACTGGCTCCATGAAAACCCAGCGCGTTTGTGCCAGGTGCGCCCAGCGGGGTGTTGTCTGAGATAATTACCTTCTCCCAGCCCCCTGGCCGGGAGTGGTTATTACCCATCATGTGTCATGCAGGTCAAGGCAGAAACAAGGGATGTGGTCACAGAGATCCCAGAGGCAGAAACGCTGTGTCCTGGGGTGACACCCTTCCCCACCCGCTGCTGCGGTGGCCTTTGATTCCTGAAATAACACCACCTCTTCCTCCTTGGTGTGAGCTGGAACCGTTACATTGACAAGAAAGCTCCTGGCTCCCCAGCCGGGTTGCTGCCAGGTCTCGCCTCCAAGCCAGGCTGGCGCCCTGGGCTGCCCCCTGGGGTCCTGTCTCCCCACTCCCTGCCCTGAGCACAGCAGCCGACTGGACTCCGGGCACGGGTCTTCTCACTACATCCTTAGCCTGCATCCTCACTGCAAGCAGAGCCCAGGCTTTAACCCGCTCTTTCCCCTCGAGCTGGGTCAGCTTATCTGGGCTTACAGCCCTTCCAAAACCACGTTAGAGGTTTTTCTGTGTGGATGATAGGGGGTCAAGGCTACAACCCAGGTGTAGCAGGGTGGACACCCAGCTCCTTCCCGGACAGGTTAAAACAGGGCTGCAGCTGGGAAAGGAAAGGCTGATTGGGGGAAAGCAGCCACAGGTGGGGCCACGCCCCAATTAGGCCACGGCTGGCCCTATAAGAGGGCTGAGGGCCAGAGACTGAGAAAACACTCTCTCTCTCTCTCTCTCGCCTTTTGAGAGAGAAGGACCTGGCTGCCCGGGAGCTGAGGAGGGTACCTAGGGTGGAGCAGTGCTGGGGAAGGGCAGAGGGAGCTGGGGAGCTCCAGCCTAGCAAAGCCCCAGGCTGCAGGCCGAGTTAAAGGCCCACAAAGGTACTAGGGCTGCAGAGGGGCAGCCCAGAGATAGGCAGAGGCAGCTGGTCCAACCCCCCTTGCCGATGATGAGTAGTTTATAGACTGCCGTCTGCCCCAGTGAGCGGGGGCTAAATGGTGACTGGCAGTAGCCACTGAGGCAAGATGGGGATAGAGGATTGGGGTTCCCCTGGGTGGGGAGACCCAGATTGGGGGGTGCTGCGGTGGGCAGAACCCCTGGGCAAAGGGCACCGAGGTCTGGGAAGGACACGGGGCCAGTGGCAGGCGAGACACCGTCCCGCAGAGGGTGCTCTGGGCTGGAAGAGCTAATTCCCAAGACGACCAGCAGGAGGCGCCGTGCCGGTGAGTCGTTGCCCCGCCCCACCAGGTAAGAGCCCTGAGTAACTGTGCAGTGTGGACCTATGTAGGTGCCCAATTTGAGATGCCTTTAAAGTAGCCTGGTGTTCAGGAAAAGCCGAGCACCCACCATCTGCAAATCCAGCTCCTTTAAGGCATCTCAAGGGAGACACCCAAAATCACGTGTCGCTTTTGAAAGGCTTTGTCCTTGTGTCAGACTCTCTGCAGACGCCGCTGCAACCGCTGCACTTGGCTCATGTCCTGGAGGTTTTCTTCGCAGCTGTAAGGGCTAGAGACTTGCTTTCTTTATTCTTTCTTTGTGAAACGGAGAGAACAAGAGGGTACCTCGAGAAAGGTGGCGTACTGATGTATCCGGCGCCCTGGGGAGGAGCAGGCTGAGGCGGATGCTCCAGGGTAAGCAGGGTACTGCCCCCTGCAGATCTAAGGTGTGAGCATTGATGTTCGGTCAGGCCGTCTTGCCCCTCCCCTTTAGGGGCTTTTGAAAAGCAATAGGCGCGAGGTACTGAGGCTTTGTCTGCACTGCTAAGAAAAGGTGCAAGTTTACTGCGGAGGAACGAACACACCCTTGGTTCTCCCATTGTAACAACCACAGTGGAGGCGAGGCACTGTAGGTTTACATCAAGGTAAAGTCGACCCCGGTGGGGAGGGGGGTCCTGCTGACCTTGCAGAGCTACCTGGTGGCAATCACTTCAGGATTTGACAGGGAGATAAGAGCTTGAGTCTGGGGCATTCTAAGAATGGAAATCCCTTAACGTTTGAAATCCGCCTCTCCGCAAAACAGAAACAAACCCTGCAAGAA